AAAACATTTTTTTAAAAGTCTATTGCAATGTAAAGTTTCAGAAATTAACTATCATCTTCAGAATATTATCCTGTATGCTTTAAAAGCATTTTATTTCTCAAAAAAAACTCATAAACTCAAATAGTCTTTCAAGTGGGCAAACATACTACATTTAACATACATTTTCATAAACTAAAGGAAACTTCGCAGGTCCAGTGGCTTTGTTACTTGTCTACCACAGTTATGGTAGATCTGTGTCCCTCCTTCCTAAAAAAGGCATATCCTCTATTGAGTACTCAACCACTCATTACTGGGCAGTGAGGGCCCAGTCTCCATCTGGTCGGTACAAATTAAAAACAACTGAACACAGCCAGGGAGGGTTAGTTCAAATCATAATAAGGTAATAAGATAATAAGCTGTGAAATGATATAGTACAGCAATAAGAAAGAAAAATTTCTTGCACTATTGAATATTTTCAAAAGTAGGGGAAATAAACATTCTGTTTAAGAAATATGGTAAAGGTACTCTTGCTCACGCTTAAAATGTGGGAGAAAAACTAGACAGCAGTCTTTTAAGATCCTTTCTAGAATTACAAAGCTATGTCCTCTAAATGAAATCATTTTGGCCAATAAATGTTTTTTATGAAAAAGTTTAAAAAGCATCACGACTTGATATACTGCTTAAAGTCCTGAGGTCTGTATTTGACAATAACATTCCTGATAATGAGTTCTATATACATGAAGGTAACCAATGCAAATCACAAACATATCTGCTGGGTAATGGAATTGTAAAGGCAGAAGGGGACTTAGAGACCACCAAGAACTAGTTAATAGTGGTAGAACTGGCATGTCATTTAGTCCAGAATTCTCTCCACTACATTGCTGTTCTTCTACAGCTAACAGCTTACTATGCCACGCTGACATAAAGATCATCTTTTTATTTGTGGATAACATATGGTGTAGTAGAACTAACTACTGGCGTGGGAGTCACAAGATAGGAATTTTATTTCCAGCTCTCAAAAGTAGTAATTTTGAATCATCTCTCTGACTTTTGCTTCTTTAAAAAAAAAATCTTAATCTATAAAATAGTAATAAAACCAACTATAAATTACACTGCTATAGTAAGAATCAAATGGCATAATTATGCAGTAGCACTATGCAAACTTCAGAGAACTATAAAATTAAGAGCACACTGCTATTATTGTCTTTGTCACCAATGAGAACTAAGAACACTATTCATTCCTGACTAGTACATGCCAGCTGTGATTTCCAGAATTCTCTAGTTACATCACAAATCTTGTGATGAGGCTTTGCTTCCAGATACTGTAAGTGTTTCTTCTCTTCTACAATCCATCTAGATTAAACACTAATATTCTAATCTAAGCACTAATTTAAGAGTGCTTTACTATTTTCCTTTTCTTTGCTAATAAATTCTTCCTTAAATGGCATGGCCAGGGAATGGAATATTCTGTTTAATTAATGGACCTCGTTAAAAGTTGCTATATGTTTTATACTCAAGTCACCAATTTTCAAAGATGTAAAATACAATAATATAGACTAGACTGTAACCAGGATAAAATAAAAATGAAGCGTTTCTTCTGCCCCTGCAAAGCTTTAATTTACTAGGTAGGAGCTTTGTCTTGTATTCTGCATAAATCTTCATGAAACTAGGCGACAGTAAACATTACTTCCAATACACTTTGAGCAAAAACTGGAGTCAATTTCATACCTCAATTTGTTGCAGAATATCTATAACCACATCAGGAACAGAAGGATCGGCATCCAGCTTGGCAGAACAAAGTGAAAGCTGGCGGATAAGGCTGCCCAGCTCCCTACACCGTGTAGGAACTGGGTGTTCCCCTCGGTCAGTAAACTGAGTGACAAACATCTGTAAGGCCCGAATGGCTCCTCGATGGGCGGCCGCCAGCCTAGACATTGCCCATGACTGGCAATAAACAAGATGTAAAAAGTTATTTCAAAATTTAGAACTTCCTAATACTAACCCAACCTTTAAGAATATTTATAGTCTATCTTCTTTCTATATAAAGTGACTGCTATTATGAAAACTTTTTCATGGTAAAGGGAATTGTAAAGTTTAAAGTTTTCTAATGACAAAGTCTTTTCCTTCCTATTCTCGGTTTCTTACACCAGTGGCAACAACAACAAAAATATATCCTTCAAAACCTGTTCCTTGGAAGGGAACCCCATATTCAGAATATTTAAGTGCTCACTCTGTCATTAATAGGTTTCTACAAGCACTGAAAATATAATATTAGTGCAGAGAACCCACATGTAATATTAACAAAATATTAGAAAATATAATTTATAAATTTATAAATAAGTGTTACTCATAATTCAATTGCATCATACCTTCTTGGTGTGTTTAATTTTATGTGGACTCGATTTATCCAATTCTTCCTGGATTTCTTTTACCTGTTTTGTAAAGGGAAAAAAGGGAAAACTTCGTACCTTTCCACTGATCTTTTTTGTAGAAAGGGATACACCTTGTCTTGTCCAAACATAACCATTATTAATTCAAATCACTTGCAAATGAGAAAAGGATCTTCATTCATGTACCCAAAAAATATTTATTGGTTTCCAGTTCAAGATGGTGAATAGAGCACCGTGTTCACCTTCCATCCCTTGGTCCCCAATGTAATAGGAATTTAACATGAAGGAGCGAAGGAGGAGGTGACTCTGGAAAGGTAGGAGGACCAGATCATGAAGTCTTACGTGCCATGCTAAAGAATTTAGCTTTCCTCTTCTAAGTTACAGAGAGCCATTGACGTCTTTTAAGCAGAGGTCTAACATGGTAAGATTCATGTTTTAGAACAATTTCTGTGGCAGCAGTGTAGAATAAGAACTGAAATAGAACCCCAAAAGAATACAGAGCAAAATCTAACTCAGGCATATTCTTTTAAATGAAAAACTACAGTTTTTGGTTCAAGCAATAAGGCCAACATGGGATGTAAGTGACCAGAAATTAGTTAAAAGCTTATTAGTAAATAAGGCATTAGGTGAAAACATTTTTTTAAAAGTCTATTGCAATGTAAAGAATGTAAATGCCTGTTTATCAGGCACTAAATGTGTCCTGAAAGACATTTAACAGTCTTCATTCTTTACAGTTTAATAAAGAATCAAATTATTTATTATCTACTAAGGTTCTAGTACATTATTAACATGAGACAGATGGGAAACTAACAAAGTCCCTTTCCTCTAAGACTAGGGTTCACACCTGGGAACAAGGGTTTCAGAGTAACTGATCCACCTGACTTCCTAGCAAAAATATGTGCTGTATAAGCATGTCAGGGCTCAAGAGTCTATGACCTCAAAAAGTCAAGAACCACTGTTTAAGGAGTTCGGCCATACACACATAATACACACACACACAAAAGTAGATTGCAAAAAGAAAGGAAATATTTGTCTATGTGTTCAGGAAATTTAGCCTCAAATCAGTCAGAATTCACGTAGGATACTTTGGTGCTAATCTTTCTGAGACAAAAGGAAAACTGAAATTCTCTAAGAAAGGGATACACAAGGCTGACTGCCCCACTTCTCCCCGGGCCTTCCACACCTGCTGCTGGAGGACGTAGAGCATTCGGGCAGAACGAACAGCTTGCTCCTGTCTCCTGACACGGATTCGACGCTCCTCCTCTGGATCCAAAGCCTCCTCTAGTTTTTCTGAAAATATTTCCCCCACAAAGGTGAATTATAAGCCATATATACAAAAACTTATAAAAACTTCAATTATTTAAAGAAACAACAGAGTTGAAGATCTCTAGTTTTATTTAAAAAAGTGAGGCTGTCGTAACAGAAAATTTCATTTTTCATCAGCCAAGAAACCAGCAATGAGTGTGCCTGTGTACCCTCACAGAGATGGAAGGGACATGGAGACACTAACTTGATCATGCTTCCCTTCATGCCGGCATTCCCTGAACCAAATCCCCCTGACAGCTATTTCACTGTGAGGCAGCTCTTACCGTTTTATTAAAATTCTTCATATTGAGCCAAAATCTGTTGTTCTTTCTACTTTTTTCAAAAA